GTCATCTAACATCAATCTTAATTCAAATGTTAACATCTAGAATCAATCTTAATTCAAATGTTAACATCTAGCATCAATCTTAATTCAAATGTTGTCATCTAACATCAATCTTAATTCAAATGTTAACATCTAGAATCAATCTTAATTCAAATGTTAACATCTAGCATCAATCTTAATTCAAATGTTAACATCTAACATCAATCTTAATTCAAATGTTAACATCTAACATCAATCTTAATTCAAATGTTATCATCTAACATCAATCTTAATTCAAATGTTATCATCTAGAATCAATTTTAATTCAAATGTTAACATCTAGCATCAATCTTAATTCAAATGTTAACATCTAGAATCAATCTTAATTCAAATGTTAACATCTAGCTTCAATCTTAATTCAAATGTTAACATCTAGAATCAATTTTAATTCAAATGCTAACATCTAGCATCAATCTTAATTCAAATGTTAACATCTAGAATCAATCTTAATTCAAATGTTAACATCTAGCTTCAATCTTAATTCAAATGTTATCATCTAACATCAATCTTAATTCAAATGTTAACATCTAGAATCAATTTTAATTCAAATGTTATCATCTAGCATCAATCTTAATTCACTATCAACTTGTCTTCATTTTTACTACAATTCTCTACCATCTTTTGACTTCATCAGTAAAAAAATAAAAACAAAGACTTTATGACAAACTCCTGTATTTCTTTCCACAACAAGGAAACGGACCACATTGTTCGTTCTGAAAATTTATTTTTCAACAAGTTGGTCAGCCTTTGTAACAGGTAATCTTCAGACATGGTAGATGCAACAGTATTGGGGGAGTTCAAGAGAGGGCTTGATGAGTTCTTTGGAAGTCAAGGTTGGATATAAGCAAATGGATGTTTGGTGAAATGAATTAAACCGTCCCAATCCTATACTGTCACTCAAATGTTGAGATAAACTTGTTCAACTTCTCAGAAGAGCATATTGACAGATCACTTTTATATTATTTTCAGTAATCCTTTTAGACTTTGTTGTTTTTTACAATTAAGATAAAATTCATTAAGTAATGAAGTCATTAACCATTTACAAGTATGTCTGTCCTTCATTTCTAAAAGCTACATCACCTGCTCCATATAAAACCACCAAGGATACATCAGCTACACTACCCAACATTGACATTACCTGCTCTGTATAACACCACCAAGGATACATCAGCTACACTACCCCACATTAACATTACCTGCTCCGTATAACACCACCAAGGATACATCAGCTACACTACCCCACATTGACATTACCTGCTCCGTATAACACCACCAAGGATACATCAGCTACACTACCCCACATTGACATTACCTGCTCCGTATAACACCACCAAGGATACATCAGCTACACTAC